AGCTGTGCTTGAAAGTTGGGAGATGGAATGAGATTAATCAAACTCAGTAGCGCGAAATATCTAACCGGGGCGAGCGTTTGTCTCTGCACGGTATCTATGCATTCAGATTGAACTCGAACGATGATATGGGGAAGAGGGCCGTTGTGATCCCTCTCTGCTCCTGGTCTATCGAATAGATGTTTTGCCGTTCTATCTTGTCCCAAACGACAAATGACAGCAGGATGATTTTTTTAGATTGTGTGCCTCACGAAAATCCAACCAGTTCTGAACTTTCCATCCTTATTGTTTGGCTTGGTGCTGTGGGCTCAGGAGAATATCCAAACTAAATTTATCGTATGCGTGCAGTTGAACACAAATAAACGGTTCGTTACAAACGTAATGGTAAGTGCTATCAAGCCTAAGCATTGCGACCCATCCGGGGCGACTTCACCTCTTTCCCCTTGTTCTAAACCTAAATGTTTATTCACAGTTACCTCGACCTTCAGAAACAGCGAAATTTCACACATTGTCCGTAAGCTGGTAGCTCGTTATGAACTTTGCGCTGAATTAGCGGAACCAGCGATCGTGCAGTATCCAGGCAGTGGAAGCAAGATAGCTCAGTGGTTAGATCGCGAATTTGCGATACAAGCCCTACCTATGCCTCTCGACGTCCCCTGTCTAGGCTTGGGCAACCTGGCAGTATCCCAGCCCTCGTGCTTCCTTCGGGTGGCATAGCAGTTATGCTGAACGATTTTAGACCGTGAGAGATGCCAGCTGCTCACCACTTCTGGTGTACTGACTACTCTCAATGGCACCAACAAACGTTATTATTTACGAATAGGTCTGTCACAAAGAATTGATACGAGGGACGTGTGAAAGTTTAGGCGTGTGATCTGTAGACTCATACCAAAAACTGCTGGAGATTGAGACAATTCAAGATCTCCGCTACTGTGTGTGTGACCTCAGTCTTGGGACAAATAGCCAAGAACAACTTGTCACACTTTGGCCCTGTGTACTTTGAGCAAGTCTGCTATTGTTTTTCCAATAAAAGATCTCTGGTGATGAGAATGAACATTACTTGGAAAACACATCTTCTCTATAAAGATTGCCAAATAAAAGCGAGTACCCGTCAGGGCCGACTGAAGATGAATGTATGAAAAGTGTTGGATCAATTTACTTCTAGGTAGGGAGAATGCTATTTCACAAGCTAGGTTGTGAGCAGCATAATTATTGATTTTTTGTCTAGTACAGCTACAGTTTTTATTCTTGTGAGGCAGTTATCCTGTGTACCAAAACAACTGTTTTTTTTTCTTTGGAAAAACACAAGCAGCGTAAATTCACGAAATTCGAAGGGGGTTCGAACCCGCAACCCTCTGAATAACAGATGAACTTCAGGTCGTCCAACCAACACACCTTATCCGAAAAGCCGCGGGTTCGAGTCTACCGAGGATGTCTGATACCTGCTTGTGTTGAGTTTAATATTGGGAAACATGAGCACTGCACTCCTCGGAATTTCAGTACACGCTGACTCCATTGAAAGGAGTAAATATGATTTTTTGCCTTGAAACCTTTTATGATGGATCGTGAAAGCTGGCGACCACAGTCAACAGATAAAAGCCCCATATTAATGAAGCACCTTTCTGTATGAATTCGGATCAACGACTAACAAAACGTGCCACAGCGGTATCACAGATCTCTTAATTTATTGCAAGTTTGCTCCCTGAAATTCGCACGCACCTATTCAGGTCACCTAATCAGCTAAAACTGAAAACAACAGCATACGCTTTGATAAATGGCATCAGCCTAAATTATGCTGCGCATAACGTTTCATCCACTGACAGCTACGAGAAGGCTAACTATGGTGTCTCCTTTTCAGTAGGGTTAATCAATACCTGGTGAACTAAGTATTGGTGGAGCAGTTCAACGGCACAATTCCTACAAGTTTCCACCCACGGATCTCTCGGTTAATTAAACCTCGGATAAAGAATGCAACTGTCGCAGTTTGCTGTATATGCTAGCACATCATCAAAGTTGATGTTCATTAAGACAGATTGTCAAGTTCGGATTAAAGTTTTCGCAAAAAGAAAAAAAACAGATTGCAAACGCCGGCAAATTGGTTATGGTGAGTGAATTGCGAAATAATCGATAAAGTTTCGAAGCTAAAATTAGCGGTAGGGAAGACTGCTTTGAAAGCTCAAAAAACACCGTAAACTGTGCGCTAGTAACCTGCTTGCGTGACTCTTACTCCGCACTCAGCAAAAATATCTTTTAAATAGAATATTTCACATCTTTGTTGGCTGGGTAATATGGATACAGAATTTCATGGTTGAGGCTGGCAGTCAGTTTTCAAGGCAGCAGATGAATAGAAATCGTGTTGCCGAAACGGGGTTGTTTGGTTACTGATTTAAGTAGCTTTTTCACCTACATGTTTATGTTTGAAACTTACCGGAAGAGACTTGGCCCAATTTTAATTGCATATCGAAGGATACTTGTCATTGAGTTATTCGTTGCTTATGTCAAAAAGTGACCCAATGAAGGTGCTTGCTGTTAAATGAAAACTTGATACCTAGCCTTTTGCTTCCGGCTCCCCAAATCCATCATGATTCAGAAGAGCCACAGTTGAATGATTCACGAGGGGACATAGCCGCGATGTAAATATCACCGTCAACGTGTCCCGAGCTGTTTTACCTATAGTACTGCTCGTTCTTAGGAGATATCTCGAAACAAACTATTCACTGATAAGGTAATCTAGATAAGATAACTAATTCCTTTGGTAACTTTTGCATGCAGAAAACTCTAGTTAGAAGAGCGAGCGCTGTAGTGCACCGCCACAGATGTGGAAGGCGAAATTCAGTTGAGCGAAGGATGTTTTCTCTAACTACTGGTTGTGGTCAAGTGAAACAAACCATCCAGAAGAGAAGGAGTAGGATTACACTTCCATTAAATAATCACACTATGATTATGTACTCTTTATTTTGTCCATCACTGTGTAATAATCGTAACCTGATCCACAGTTGAACGCCTATACATGACTCGAGCCTTGCGGCGCCTTCCAGAGTAGGTGATAATTCAACTTGCCTGTGGGTCCAAGCCAGGCAGATTAACAAAACCAGAAACGGGAAACTTTTTGAAGTCAAATCTAAAAAAAGATCACAAATTGGTGGTCAAGGATAAAAATGGCTCCAGAACCGACAAAAGGATAGGGGAACAGGAGGCCAAACCCAAAGACCATGTAAGGACCCGTACAACACGAGGACACAAGATAGAAAGTCAACCAAAAGAACCGTCCGACCGAACAACCATCGTGATCTAGGGTGCTTCCAGGTTAACAGCATCTAAATTAACACACACTTACCTTTCTCAACGCACAACCACTAAACCACCGCTATGCACCACCCCAATGACATGCTGACGATGTTATTCCAGTTGGTGATAAAATGACTGTTTAGCTCAGAAAACAAAACGATGGCCATCTATGTTCCTCATGAGCTGGTAAACAAATCATCGTGTACATGATATGTTAGGCCGTTGGGATAGTTACTACTACATGAGATATGACCCAAGGCAACCGGCCTGAATGATCGTTTCTCATGATGCTCAGTCGCGATTTTACGAAACCCGAACTAAAAGTAGTTTGCCAACTTCTTTGTAACAAAACTTTTTTGTGGTAAACGTTTGCACAAGTTAGAAGATGATAATACTGGCTAGAATACTAGGAAGATTAACGGAGGTCAGCATTACAGTCAGCAGCAAGTTCCTATACTGCGAGGAATTGTATTACCATGCGGTCTGGCAGCGATGTTCTACTTCACTCTGAGGCAGGAGGCTAAAGGCGGTAAGGTGTTTCTTTTAAGCGACCAGGATATTCATTCTTATGGAAGTACCAATGATAAAGTCCTCGGAAGAGCTTCAAA